TAAATTTAATATAATATCAATTATGTATATTTAATAACGGTACATATTATTTTTATCAGTATATCATATTTATTGATGTTACACAAGATCTACATGATAGCAGAAATCGTGTGGGTGCTGTTGGGGTAGTTTTTGATTGGCTGTTGCTCACGTGAACACACCTGGCTTTAGACGACCCCATTTATCAGTTCTGAGCGGCGTTACGTAAAACTATATGTTTGTAACTTGTCAAGCAAGTTTCAACAATCTTGTATTTTATCTTAATGTAAAACAAGATTAATCTCAAAGCTAACCTGCTAGTTTCTTTAATTTGTAACTTACACGAGATCATGTAAATTACGATATAACTCACATTGTTAGGTATTGTTAGGTCTGCGATTTATCAAGCATAAAAGTTTAAAAAAATTAAAGCCATTACTAAGTCCCTTTCACTTCGCGTGAAGTCATATAGCATATAAAATGTATGCTAGATTTGTCTCGCGCAAAGTACATTTCATATATATTCAAGTTACTCATTTTTTACATACAAAAATAACTCAATCGATTTGCACAAAATTATTCTCTGCTTATTTACAAAAAAAAAATGTTTGTTAGCGTAATACCATAAAATAACTGTTAAAAAGTGATTTGTGGTTTGTGAGCATTTTTATTTCATAATCTGTCTATCCAATATCCCAACGATAAAAGGCTGTTTGTTTTCAATTGTATGACAGTTAATTCGCTAATAAGAAGACGATAGGATTTTAAAAAAATTTAGACTAGAGTATCATATGGGATAGGTGTGATGCTCGTTGGATGATTCCTAGAGGTTGAGACAAAATGAGAAGGCCGAGGAGCTAGTGGTTGTCTCTTGAGATTGACCTTTTCTGTTTTCCGAAAAATATAATAATGTATTCATTATTTGGACTAATGAATGACTTCAGCAATTAGTTAATTACAAACCATTTTTAGCCCTAGCCTCTTTTTTCTTGATTGCATTTTCTTTAACCCGACGTAAAAAGTCATCCCTGCATTTCGAATGCTTGATATGCTCAATGCGAACGTTAATCCGTTTTTCAATGTAACGGTTGCCAACACGTTTATTAATGATAACACCAACAGCAGATTTGGTTACATTATAAATGATACCAGTGCGACTAAATCGTAAAAATATAATCAATATCTTGAGAATAAAGTTGATCAAGGTGAATTCATAAAATTCATACCCGTGATAGAACTTGTGGGGCATACCCTTTTGGACGGCACCGTTGGCCTTTATATCAACGATATCGCCGACCTTATATGTCTTGAGGTAAGTTGAAAGTTTGATAGATCCATGTTCTCGAAATTTACGAGAGAACATGTACCGCGTACGAGCGCGGATACCGTAAGAGTGTGGCATTGTTAACTATATTAAAAAGATCGCAAACTCTAATTATTAACTCGGTGGAAAAGGAGGAATAGTCATTGGTTAAAGTTCATCAGTTAAAAATTTTTTCATCTTAGCTTTGATTGGATACATCATGTGATAGATAAAAATTTTTTTCAAAAAAAAAAAAAAAAAAAGGTTGAAAGTCCAGACGAGATATCTTTAATTTCTTCGGATTCTTAAGAAATAATGCCAGGTGCTGCAAGGAATTGTATTTAATGAAACTTTCTTATTTTTTTTTCTTTCTTTTCTTTTTTTTGTTTTTTTTTGTTCAATTGGGGTTTCCGCTGGTACAATGCTTATAAGCTGATTTTATGTTCAACGAAAAAATTTATCATGAAATTGTAATTCTGTGCCTTCCTACGGACACAAGGATTGCAATTCAATAGTGTTCATGACCCGGACAGATAGTATCCTGCATTTTCTCGAGTAGCTTGGATTTTTCAGTTTTTTTTTTTTTTTTTTTCCTTGAAAGTTTCATAAAGAGAGAGATAGCAAACTCTCTGGATACGAACGAGTATGAGTTTGATCCACCACTCATCCTACCTAAATAATGGTAGCAAGTGTGGATCTTAGTTGCTATATGCATTAAGGGAAAGCTTACATAGTGGATTTTATGGTCTCATTGAGATTAAAAATCCCGGGATTGCTTTACCCGATATCCTTTCTGTTTTTTTTTAATTAGGTTCAAAAACATATAAAGTTCCCCGCCGTCCATTTGAAAAGGAACGAATTGACCAGGAACTTCGTTTAATTGGTGAATTTGGTCTTCGAAACAAACGTGAAATCTGGCGCGTAGCTTATACACTCTCAAATATTCGTCGTGCTGCACGTGAACTACTCACGTTAGATGATAAAGATCCTCGTCGGCTTTTCGAAGGAAATGCTTTGATCCGAAGGCTTGTTAGAATTGGTGTCTTAGATGAGACTAAAATGAAACTCGACTATGTCTTGGCTTTGAAAATTGAAGACTTCTTGGAACGAAGGTTACAAACTCAGGTTTTTAAATTGGGTTTGGCCAAATCAATTCATCATGCTCGTGTCCTCATTAGGCAACGTCATATTCGGTAATTATTTTCATTATTCATTTAATTTCTCTTACATACATAATGATGTTTTTTTTTTCATTTAGTGTTGGAAAACAAATAGTTGATATTCCAAGCTTTATTGTTCGGTAATTGCATATCCCCAATTCTTATTTCTATATATATCACAGATCATTTATATTCATTTATTTATGATATTTATATAGTCTTGACTCTCAGAAGCATATTGACTTTGCTCTTACCTCACCTTATGGTAACTTTCATTTTATTACTTTGCTGCAATGATACATGACAAATAGAATTCATTTTTATTATTTTTTTTAACAGGTGGTGGTCGTCCTGGTCGTGTAAGGAGAAAACGTCAACGAAGCGCTACTAAAGGTACTTATATTTATAATCAATTATTTTTATTAAAATATTATAGGATGATGTTACTAACTAACTGTTTTTAGGTGACGAAGAAGAAGAGGACGAATAAATTAATAAACGAATCATACATATCTTTAAATAAAAACATGTAACTTATAGTTGTACTACATGAATGAGAGCGTGCTCTCAGCTAATAAAAAGTCAACCAAAATACATGCAGTTCTCACAATCTAGTTATACATATGATACTCGTGACTATTACAGATTAATAATATGTCTAACATTAAGGGTAGCATACGGAGCAAATCTAATTTAATGGGATGGGGATCAATCCAACCCTATCCATTAACAATCCTATCTACCATACGCCATTGACCATCGCACCATCTGTTATAATAAATGGAAGCGATGATGGCATGTTTAAATGCTTTGTGTGCACCTTTGCATTCTCTCACTTTTTTGATGAAAACGAGAATGGCATTATTTTAACGCTTGCGTGTTATGTTAAGTTCAAGTTTGCATTTTTCACCTTTTTTTTTTTTATATACTGATAAAAATATACCGCGATTATTTCTATCTTACATTTTATGAATTTATCTAACTAAATCTTTTATTTTTATAAACGCATAAAAAAATGACAAGAAAAGCTTAAGGAAATATTAAAATAATGCAGATAGTCAATAAAATATTTCGGTTTGCATATGGGCTCATAGATAGAAGTTCGTCTGATTGGCTGATGTAGATCAATTGTCCGGGTAACTTATTTATAATTAACTTGGTGGCGATTTTTCATAATGAGTAAAGAAAAGAAAGTCATTGGACCGTGCATTATAGAAATTTGCAGGAGAAAATCTTCAGATTGGAAGTCTGTAACTACTTTAGTTCTTTTTAAAGAAGCAAGCAATAGAATGCTCTCTTCTTATGTTAAGGAATCTGATACAATATGTTTAGATTGAAATAATGCAATTGTTACAAATGTATTATCTAAATTTAAACAGCATGTGTTGAATTGGGTGTTTGCATATTGAGTCAGAATTTTCTAACACTAGTCCTTTTTTATTTTTTTTACAAGCAATAGAATAATTACAGATAATTTTATAAAAAAAAAACATAAAGAGTTATTATTAATTTGAAAATTTAAAAAATTTTATATAATTATACAATTAGAAGATATATGGTTAAAGTTTTTTTTTATAAATTATATCCATCAATTAATTCAGAATCAAAAAATAATAAACCAAAAAAAGTATCAAAACAATTAGTATTTTTATATTATTTTATTTGTAATATTAAAAATAAATTTATTAACAAAAAAGAGTATAGTGATTTATGTAATTGGTAAGTTGTCACACTTCAAGTAGTAGAACAAAAATTCAAATCCTATTAGTGATGAAATTCAAATTTACAGAATATGTCATAGCAGATTGTATAATATACTGATTGGGTTAGCACCTATAACTTAGATTATACCAGCCTATACTAAAAAATTGTAAAATAATAGTGTGATATATAAATTATACAAAATCTAAGTAAGCAGCTAAATAAATCTAAAAAATTGAGAGATATAAAATCTACTTGAGAAGACCTAAGTAGAAAGGTAGTATAAATTTTTGACTGTATTATATAAAAAATTATTATTTGAAAATTAGACATTAATAGTAAACTAAATAAAAACTAAGTATTTGACAAAACATTACATTAATTAGATCATTAGACAAAAATTAAAAGAAAAAGTATTTATTTAGAATACTAGGCAACATCTACTACAGTAGTTTCTCTCAAATCATCTGGATTAGAAGTTTGAGATGCTGTTAGTTGATATTAAAGCACTGTTAATAGTCTATAA